CTTAGGCTCAACGCTGCCCTTCTCAGAGCCTCAGAACCACCTTGACTGACCTCCAAAATCCCTTGGAGGTCATGAGTTTTTCATTGGTGCAGAAATAGCCATTCCCTTGTTAGAAGTAGGATCGTACAACTGGGAAACTGAACCAAACACAACAATTGGTGGAGTGCGTTCCTCCCTCATTACCCTGTGATCTCCAAAGAATCTCCTCATAGGTGCTCTTCTTATAGTTTATCTTTGCACCTTAATGTCAGCACCGCAGCAAGTCCATGGCAGGGAAGGGGCAGCCCAAAATATGTCCACCAGAGGGCAGCATAGAGCTGTGCTTGCCCAGATCAGCCCCTGAGGTCATCAGCCCCTGCTGCGGGAGAGTGCACATCTACCTGCTTCTGAAGAGCAGAGCTGGGGTCTGGAATCACTGCTGCTGAAGCAAACATTTTGGCCACGGTGCTGAGAAGAGCATGAGAATGTCATTGCTACAAACAATGACAAACCCTAAATCCAACTGAAGCTTGCACAGTCCAAAAAATAGATAAAATCGTATTTTTATCTTTAGCTATCTTACATGGAGTGCTATGTACCTGGCACTGACAGATGGGTATATGCATTATCTCACTTACGCTTTACATAAATCCTATGTGCTGCATCCTGTTTTTTATTCCTACTTTACAGATGAGGAAACAAGTTACTGAAGATCAGTGATGGGACAGTTTTCTCTAACTCTAAAAGTCTGTTTCACTATAAAACCTTCCCCTCCAGGCTGTATACATCTGCTTGTTATTTTTCTAGAGTTCTGCTGACTGCTCTGTGGATAGAAAGGAAGTATTATATAAGGATTATATAGGATTTGGCTCTTGCCCTTGAAGTACATACACTTTCAGAATGGAGAGAACAACTTAAGTATCATACAAACAATTGTATATAATCCGGAGCTTAACGGTTTGGTTAAACTATGTCCTCACTACTCTCCAATCTCAAGTGTTTTCCCACTAGTACTACACAATTGCTGTAAACAGAGTCATTTTCATGAGAAGCGGTGTGCTGTAGTCACACATTCAATCATTCATTCATTTGCTCTCCAAATATTTAATGAATATCTCTGACTATGACAGACACTGGATATCACACAGAAACATACTTCATCCCTGCCCTTGAGGAGATTATAATTTAGTTTGGGATGCTGAAAAATAGACAATAGCAAGTAAACCAATAAATACATGTGGGATTATAATTATACATGCCATCAAAAGGGTCCAGTGGTTAGCTATTATCCCTAGTGACGTCAGCTCTTGGACCAACACTTTCCTGCTCTTGATTCCCATGATCTCCTTCTCTATTCCAGCCACCGGGCAACTCTGCCTCGAGCAGGTCTTCTCTTCTGTGATCTGGACCTTTCCGAATTGCCTCTGTGATTGCAATCTCATGGACACATGTCTCTCACACTCCTTTGGATTCCAGCCAGCCTTTCCTCCGCCCTCAGTGTGTAATCCCTCTTTCTGTATTCTCTTGTCCACTCAGAACTCCATGGCAGGTCAATTCAGCCATACCCTTGTTCCTTCTCTAAAATCCCCCGACCTTCCATGATGCTCATCCTGACCCATCCTGAGTCTACCTAGCACTCTGCTCTCTCTTCCCCAGCACCGCCCTGACCTTCTGCCCACTCATCCTCTCTGACCAAACCTCAAAGCTCCTCTGCATGCTTTATTCTCCATGGGCCCCATGTCAGGCCTTTTCTACTCCCCTCAATCCCAAATGTACTAAATGCACATTGTCATAAATGTCAGCAAACATGTGTACATCCTCAGCTTCCTTTGTCTTTACCTCAGAATCTGTGCCCATTTGTCTTTTGCTCTCCAAGCAGAATAGGGAGTTTCTGGCTCCTGCAAGCACTTCATGATAAGGCACAATGGTGCTTGAGAAGAATCTTGTAGAGGCACTCCATTCATTCCTTCATGCACGCCTACCTTTCCTACTGCATTCCACAGCTGTGTATTGACCACCTACTATTTTCCAGCATTACAATTAGCACAGGAGATACCCCATAGCAACCTAGGATCAGGAAGGAGCAGGTCAACTATACTGGAACATTATTGGAGAAATGGGGTGTCCTGGTACAAGGTCAGGTGGGGGTTGGGGGATGTGTGCGGAAGACCTGCTCTGCACAACACCAGAAGCCATATTAACATTCTGAACTTATTCTAAAAGAGAAGAAAACCAGAAGAGTGACCTGATCTGATTTGCAGTTTCCAAAGGACCACTGTGATTGCAGTGTGGGAACAGATTAGAGAGGGCCTGAGTGGAAATAGAATGGAGGGAACGATGGAAAGCTGGTGCAGTAACCTGGATGAGAAGGATGGCTTCCTGTGCACAAAATCGCCGCTGTTGAACATTCCGGCAGCCCTTGGACTCTGTGCCTCTGTGATTCCTTGCAAGTGCCCCAAGGCTCTGGCCGTGCTCTCCCTCCCCTAATTTATCTCATGCCGAGTCTTGTGCCCCATCCTGTACGCTACGCTCTAAATGACAAGAACCTCTCTCTGTTCTCTGAACAGTTGGGCACTTTCCCTCCTCCAGGCCTTTGCTCATGCTGTTCTCTCAACCTGAATGGCCCTCGCTTCTCTCAGTCTGCTCCTATGTTCAACCCCTTTACAAATGCTCATTCATTACATGACGAGAATGAAGCTAGTCCTCCTTGCAAATTTGTTTATAATTTATTATATCACGATTACATTTTGGCTTGCATTTTAGTTAGTTCCTTCCTGCTGTCCCCTAAATTGGGAGTTTTGTGGGAAAGGGAACATATTTTATTAGTATTTTTATTATCTCCTTCAAACCCATACTACCTTGCACAGTGGGATATTTTAGTGGGTGTTAAATGCTCCCTGTATGAAATTGCAAAGAACCCAATCCAATCCAATCCAGTTCAGTTCAGTTCAATTCAATTCAATTCAATTCAATTCAATTCAATTCAATGCCTTGTGTACTGGTTATTTCCTTTATAGGTAGTAAGCCCTTTAAGGTTAGGCACTTTACTATGTTTCTTTGTGTCCTACCTGGCTCATATGGTAGGCACTTGAAAAATGCTTATTGATTGCTTTACTTAAAGATACTCCTTGGTAGTGGAAGTGTTAAGTGGCCCTTGGCCTCTTATTTCTTTTTATTTCATAGATACCAGTAACTACTTTTTATGTCAAATATGGTATGTGTAAGCTTGAAAGTTGTAATTCCATACAAGTAAATGGCCAAAAAAGGTAATACAGACTCTTAAATAGTTGATAAATGGATTTAGGCAGCTGTATATAAAGACATAAATATATTTTTCTTGGCAGGCTTGGCTTCATGAGGGCAAAAGAAAAAGTTATGACTGATGGGGACTAGGGCAATGGTCGCATGACTTTAGAGACCACAAATAACCTCCCTTCAATATCCATTTCACCAAACGGAGGCCTCCCATGCTGCTCTCAGCCAAAAGTGCCCTTTGTTTTATCCTAAATGCTGTTTAAGACATCATCTGTAACTCTAGAGGGTCTATTACATCGAATTAATTGGTATTGCATTCAAAGGACTTCCAATCTGCCCAGGCCCCTTTACCAAACTAATCTTTAAGCTTCACACTGCTCACTTCTTATGTAATGGAAATGTCCTTGTGAAAGTCACCATTTTTTTTATTGTGGTAAACTATGCATAACATAAAATTTCCCATTTTAATTATGTTTAAGAATACAGTTGAGTGACATTCTTATGCAACCATCACCTTCATGCATCTCCAGAAGTTTTTCATCACTGCAAACTGAAATTCTGTACTCAACCATACCTATTTTTATTTTTTTAATTTAAAATGGTGTCTTCTAATGATAGGAAGTTAAAACAATACCAATGTGTAAGTCCTACTCACCATTCCATACCCACCTTCTGCTGTTAACAGTTTGTTGTGTATTCATCTGCATCTTTTATTTTTTTGAGATAGAATTTCACTCTGTTGCCCAGGCTGGAGTGCAGTGGCGCGATCTCGGCTCACTGCTACGAACTCTGCCTCCCGGGTTCTGGCCATTCTCCTGCCTCAGTCTCCCGAGTAGCTGGGACTACAGGTGCCCACCACTATGCCCGGCTAATTTTTTGTATTTTCAGTAGAGATGAGGTTTCACCATGTTAGCCAGGATGGTCTCGATCTCCTGACCTCATGATCTGCCCACCTCAACCTCCCATCTGCATCTTTTATTGTGTGCATAAAACACATATATAAGTCCATAAAAATGTATTGTTTTCTTTTATGAAAATTGAATCATAAATGAAAAATGCTGTTTTCATTTAATCAGGTAGTATGAACATTTTTCCCATGTTCTAACATACAGGTATACTCTGTTCCTTTTATTGTCCACAGAGTGTCCCATAGTATGAATGAATGTACTATAATCTATTTAACTATTTCCCTAGTGATAGACACTTAGGTTTGTTTTTAAGGTTGTTGTTGTTTTTCCTTTGAGAAACACTGCTACAATAAAAATCCTGGTACACTCAGGCAAGCATTCCTGTGGGACACATTACTAAAGGTTAAATTTCTAAATATAAATGTTTCTACTTCAAAAAAAAAAAAATGAATGTATACTATCACATTACTCTCCACAAGTGTTGTAACTGCTTGTTTCCCAGGAGTGTGCCAGGGGAAAGAGCTCTGTGCTTGGTAGCCATTATTAATTCACGTCTTAGTGTGGATTTGCTTGAAGTCACTTCTCGCTTTGATAGGACCCTAGATGCTCTCAAAGGAGGATCTAACAAAAAAGAAAGGAAGCCTCTAAGAAAGAGGTGAATTCATAAATCATGGCGGGTTAATCCTGTTTGGGAAAATGAGAGACACACACACGTTCAACAGTTGACTCTTCATTTCACTGCACAGAGCAGAGGCATATGTTCCACTTGCTTAATTTTACTCTTCTTGATGCTCAGCAATTTGTCCCTGCTCATCCACACCAAAACTCTGGGATTCGAGTCAAACCTCAACAGCAGTGTCAAGGCCCATGAGTCAGGGAAGAGCTGTGCCTCAGATACACATCATCTTCAGCTTCAACCAATTCAGACTTCCAAACATGCAGACAGCCTATAGAAAAGAATGGCTGAGCTGAGACTTGAGCTTACAACTTCTCAGCAGTATTTTCTATTTAGGTTAATAAAACTCCAAAGCAGAGTAAAGAGGACTTGTGTTAGTTTTTTTGTTTTGTTTTGTTTTGTTTTTATTTTTATTTATTTATTTATTTATTTATTGGCAATGATGACCTGGGGCAGCACTTGTAGTAATGCATGGCTTTGGTATTTGCATAGCATAAGCTTACATTCATTAGAAAAGCATGTTATTCATTGAATTTCCCACAAATACCAGTGGTTTTAATTAAGAAAAAATTAATGAAATGCAATTGGTTTTGCTAATAAAGAACCATGCTAATTCCTGCAAAAAATCTAATTTTCTATAATTAGCTCATATGGAATTCATTCATTAGAAAGAAAATCATGTATACATGCAGAAAACCAAACTGCTGAGCTGGAGAGTTTCTAATAACTCTGAGAGTAACTATTGAATAGCAGAAAAAACATTAAGCCAATATTTCCTGATATAGTAAATCTCATGGCAGATTTCCAGAGCAACCATGAAAGGGGCGCCTTATTTTAGAGCCAAGCCTATGTGAAATGAGATTATTCTCTTAAGAACAATTTTTCCATAAGCCCAGGTTGTAAGGGCAAGAATATCTGATGTCAGCCTTGTCATGACTAAGCCAAGAAAGGAGACTAGAGAAAATTTATTCTATTGCCATGACTCTGGGCATTTAAAAAATCAACAGGGAGCTTTGGAACTGGATAAAATCTAAATGTTCAATGTATGCACTAGGACCCTGAGATATGGGGTATTGCCCATTATGGCCCCCCACTATTTATTTACTTGTTTATTATTTATTTATTTATTTATTGAGACAGAGTCTCGCTCTGTCACCCAGGCTGGAGTGCAGTGGTGAGATCTCGGCTCACTGCAACCTCCGCCCCCTGGGTTCAAGTGATTCTCCTGCCTCAGCCTCCCAAGTAGCTGGGACTACAGGCACCCACCACCACACCCGGCTAATTTTTGTATTTTTAGTAGAGACAGGGTTTCATCACCTTGGTGTGGCCCCTTTTTAAACTGCATTAAGCTGAAAGCCTTTCACTTATGGGTAAGGATTCCTCTTAGATATCTACAAAGAAGTTGCCAGGATATTGTAGTCGACTTTTAGGGTTCTCTGCCCAACTTACAATAACCCCATAACCGCTCTTTTCAGCTTAAGTGTTGACAACTACTGTATATTATGTGACTCCGTGCTCCTCCCTACCACCAAAACCAAATTCTCTTTCCCAGGAATTTGGTATTGGAACTAAAATATTGTGACTGAGTCTTGGCTGGTAAGTGGAAGAAATCTATCAAGAATTGTGCAATTCCTATCTTCTATTACCACAATCATGGAGAAGCAGAGAAAAGAGAGATTGAGAGAGATACAGAGAGACAGAGAGGTGGGAGTTGGAGGATGAATGTGGAGAGACAATCAGAGAAAAGAAATAGAGTCTTCTGTTTTTATAGTTTCTAGTTCAGGTGACTTTCTAAAGCCTGGCTGAGTTCTTGGCTTTGATACCCCTCTATCCTTGTAACAGACCTCCCCTCTTTTGCTGATGTTAACCTGAATAGAATTCTGTACTTGCAACAAAATGTCTAACCATTGCACATGTTGGAGTACATATTTAAGAAGAGACCAGCTGGGGTAGAAGCCAGAGAAGAAAAAAGGGAAGAGAAAAAAAAAAAAAAGCAAGTACTTGCTATGTGTCAAGCACCTTCCTAAACACTTTAAAAATTATCTCATTACTCAATAAAGTATCCTTTAAAAAGATGTTATTTCTCCCCGTGTTTTCAAGGAAGAGTTCCATATTTCAGAGATTTAACTACAGGCTGCACAGTTGGCTGGTAGAAGATCTGGAGTTTGTATTCACATTCGGGCTATTGGGCTTGGGCTCTGGTCTGACCGTGATAAATAACAGTCACTATAATACTTGTGTAACCTTGAGCAAAGCACTTCACTCTATTTAGGATTTGGGTAAATATAATATTATTTAAGGTCCCTTCCAACTTAGTAGTATAGTATCACTTTAAAAATTTATTTAGAACAGTGTTTCTTTATCTAGTAGTTTGAGTAGGGGTGGAAGTGTGTGAGTTAGATCTAAGCTCTCTTCTATGTCATTTCAAATTTTACCCATCCTTTATCCCTACCCTACCCTTCCCCTAAAGAATTCTATAAGGTCTGGTGGATGTGTAAAGATCATGGGCAACAGTGTTAGGATTTAAACCCAGGGCTGTCTTACCACTTCGTTATGCTGCTGTTTCCTCTTTTACTATGCCTATTGGAATAATATAGAAGTTCAATAATTTTTTCAACTGAATTGCATGAATATTTGCCACAAATGACTAATATGTCCTATTTTGAATGCTTCACACATTATAGAATTAACTTGTCAATTTCTAATAAAAATCTGGCTGGTATTTATATTGGAATTGCTTTGAATCTATTGATCAGTTTGGGGATATTGCTGTCTTCACAATATTGAGCCTTCTAATCCATGAATATAATATAATTTTCCACATTTTCAAAGGTCTTCTTTAATTTCTCACAGCAGTTTTGTAGTTTTCAGCATAGAATTTTTACACTGCATTTATTAATTTATTTCTAGGTATTTGATATCTTTGGATGCTACTGCAAATCAATATGGTGAAAATGACCCTACTGCCAAAAGCGATCTACAAATTCACACAATCCCCATCAAAATACCACCATCATTCTTCACACAATTAGGAAAAAAACAATTCTAAAATTCACAAGGAACCAAAAAGTAGCCCACATAGCCAAAGCAAGATAAGCAAAAAGAACAAATCTGGAGCTATCACATTACCTGATTTCAAACTATACTATAAGACATAGTCACCAAAACAGCATGGTACTGGTATAAAAATAGGCACATAGACTAATGGAACAGAATACAGAACCAGAAATAAACCCAAATACTTACAGCCAACTGATATTTGACAGAGAAAACAAAAACATGAAGTGGGGAAAGGACACCCTCGTCAACAAGTGGTGCTGGGATAATTGGCAAGCCACAGGTAGGAGAATGAAACTGGATCCTCATCTCTCACGGTATACAAAAATCAACTCAAGATGAATTAAGGACTCAAATCTAAGACCTGAAACTGTAAAAATTCTAGAAGATAACATTGGAAAACCCCTTCTAGACATTGGCTTAGGCAAGGATTTCATGCCCAAGAACCCAAAAGCAAATGTAGTAAAAACAAAGATAAATAGGTGGGACTTAATTAAACTCAAGAGTTTTTGCACAGCAAAAGAAAGAGCAAAGTAAACGGATGACTGAGTGGGAAAAAATCTTCACAATCTATACACATGACAAAGGACTAAGGACTAATATCCAGAATCTACAACAAACTCAAACAAATCAGTAAGAAAAAAAATATCCCATCAAAAAGTGGGCTAAGGACATGAATAGACAATTCTCAGAAGAAGATGTACAAACGGCCAAAGAATATATGAAAAAACACTGAGCATCACTAATGATCAAGGAAATGCAAATCAAAATCACAGTGCAATACCACCTTACTCTGCAAGAATAGCTATAATCAAAAAATCACAAAACAGTAGACGCTGGCATGGATGCAATGAACAGGGAACATTTTTACACTGTTGATGGGAATATAAACTAGTACAACAACTATGGAAAACAGTGTGGAGATTATTTAAAGAACTAAAAGTAGAGCTACCATTTGATCCAGCAATCCCACTACTGGGTATCAACCCAGAGGAAAAGAAGTCATTATACGAAAAAGATAATTGCACACACATGTTTATAGCAGCATAATTTGCAACTGCAAAATCATGGAACCAACCCAAATACCCATTAATCAATGAGTGGATAAAGAAACTGTGGTATATATATACAATGGAATACTACTCAGCCATAAAAAGGAATTAATTAATGGCATCCATAGTGACCTGAATGAGAATGGAGAGTATTATTCTAAGTGAAGTAACTCAGGAATGGAAAACCAAATATCATGTGTTCTTATAAATGAGAGCTAAGCTATGAGGACACAAAGGCATATGAATGACATGGACTTTGGGGACTCAGGGGGAAAGGGTGGGAAGGGGGTGAGGGATGAAAGACTACAAATAGGATGCAATGTATACAGCTCATGTGATGTGTGCACCAAAATCTCAGAAATCACCACTAAAGAACTTACTCATGTAACCAAACACCACCTGCTCCCCAATAACCTATGGAAATAAAAAGATTTTTAAAATATATTCTTGGTAGCAGAATAATATTCTCCCCCAAGATGCTCATGTCCTAATCCTCAGAACCATGGCAAAGGATAATTAAGTTTGCAGATGGAATTTAGATTGCTAATTAGGGGCCTTAAAAGTGGAAAAGAGGGCCAGGCACAGTGGCTCATGCCTGTAATTCCAGCACTTTGGGGGGCTGAGGTCCGCGGATCACCTGAGATCAGGAGTTCAAGACCAGCCTGGTCAACATGGCGAAACCCTGTCTCCACTAAAAATACAAAAATTAGCCAGGCATGGTGGCACTCACCTGTAATCCCAGCTACTCAGGAGGCTGAAGCAGGAGAATCACTTGAACCCGAGAGGTGGAGTTTGCAGTGAGCTGAGATCGCGCCACTGCACTCCAGCCTGGGTGACAGAGCGAGACTCCATCTCGAAAACAAACAAATAAAAAAAAACAAATAACAACAACAAAAAAAAAAAAAAACAGGAAAAAAGAAAAATGTAGAAGAGGTAGAAGAGGGAAGCAAAACAGGAAAGTTAAAGGGATACATTTCTTGGAAAAAAGGTTAGAGAGCTGCAACATTGTCAACTTTAAAGATGGAAGATGGGACCACGAGCAATGGAATGCAGGTAGATCTCTAAGTTGGAAAAGGAAAGGAAAAGGATTCTCTCTGAGAGCCTTCAGGAAAACCACAGCCCTGCTGACACCTTGACTATATAGCTGAATAAGGCCCTGATTGGATTTCTGTCCTCTTAACTGTAAGATAATGAATTGTGCAGATTTAAACTACTAAGTTTCTGGTAATTCAGTATAGCAACAATAGGAAATTAATATGGAGTTAGGGAAAAGTTCAGTAACTCAGGACTCTGAACTTTGTTAGAAAGGTCAGTTCTCTCTTCACCCCTAATCCCTTCATTCGTGGAGCTTACCCCATGGTGACATCCTGCAATTTGCCAGCTTTGGGAATAGTATCAGACAGAGCAACATTTGCTTTTTTGCACCATCCATGCTGCAAAGCTGAGCAACAGAAAGGTTTGACGGGATAACAAATATTAACATATGAGAGCTAGGTCAGGAGGAAAAACCTGGTAGAAGCCACACAGTATTTGTGCAGTAGCCACAGGTATTTGTGGGCACAGGTGAAGCACTACTTTGAAGGATAACTTTTAGTGAGGGCAAATTCCATTTTGAGAAAGTAAGAGGTTGAAAGATAGAATTTTTATAATTATGACTCTATTTGTAGGTGAGGCCACCTTGGATTATGCTAATGATAAGGTATACACTAATACTTGCTAATTTCTGAAGTTTATGACATAATTTTAAATATAATTAGAGAAGATTGAGGATTACTCCTATAAGACAGCATCCTTGCATATTAGTTTTTCAATATCTTGAGTGATAAAAAACGAGGAGGATGTGAGATGTTGTGCTGGGAAGTGCACATTGGCCTCAGACTCTCCTCTCTCTGCCAGCTAAGTCCTGAGTGAGCTCCTACTATGAACTGAAATGCAAAAAATGGAAAGGGCATTTGTTGGGGCCGGTGTAAGCCAACTGTTTCCATCCTTATTCCTTAACTCAGAAATGCAAATGAAGAATGACATTGTCAATTTCGTGAGCAGTCCATATTTTTTTCTTTTGACAAGAGATAAAGTAAATAGCATATGGATCTCCTCTGGCAGAATAACAAATAAAAGTATTTTATAAGGATATGAGTTATAAAATTAACTTTTTGTTATCTCTAACGTGTTACTTTGCAAGGAAAAAATATAAGTAATAAATATCAGTATTCCTTTTTTTGGGATCCATATTTGGCTGGATGCAGCCCGGACAGGTGTCATGGTTATAGAATATTGCCATGCGTCTGAGTTGTGATTTCAGTATGCTTATTGCTAGTTCTTTTTTAATTTTGCTATGTTTTTAATAAAGGAAAAGACAAGGATAGATGAGGAAAATATAGAGTATTTTTTATCTTCAGTACATGTCAGTAAGAATGATGCTATGAAATTTCAGTTAATAATGAAATTGGAGCTACAAAGACCAAATCATGAATAAAATGGATTTGCAATAGTGTTACTCATAGTAGCACACAAAAATATGAAAATATCATGTGCCATATGATATTTGCCTCTTCACTGAGTTAGATCTGTGCTTATGCTTCAATACTGTAATTGGCCATCTCATTTCTATTGCCTATGGAGCAAAAGTCTGAAATAAAAGAGAATATTCATATTTATTACTTATATTTCTTCCTTGCAAAATTACAATTTGGAGATTTTAAAAAGTTAATTTTATAACTCACAGCCTTACAAAAGAATTTTATTTGTTATTCTTCCAAAGGAAATCCACATGCTATTTACTTTATCTCTCACCAATAGAAAAAAATATGGACTCCTCATGAGATTGACAATGTCTTTCTTCATTTGAGGTTTTGGTTTTTTTTTTTGTTTTTTTTTTGTTTTTTTTTTTTTGAATGTCTTTTCATTTGAGGTTTTGCTTTTTTTTTTGTTTTTTTTTTGTTTTTTTTTTTTTTGAGATTTGAGTTCCCGCTTGTTGCCCAGGCTGATGCGGCCGGATCTCAGCTCACTGCAAGCCCGCCTCCACAGGGTTTACGCCATTCTCCTGCCTCAGCCTCCCGAGTAGCTGGGACTACAGGCGCCGGCCACCTCGCCTGGCTAGTTTTTTTTTTTTTTTTTTTGTATTTTTTTAGTAGAGACGGGGTTTCACCGTATTAGCCAGGATAGTCTCAATCTCCTGACCTCGTGATCCGCGCGTCTCGGCCTCCCAAAGTGCTGGGATTACAGGCTTGAGCTACCGCGCCCGGCCTCTTCATTTGAGTTTCTGAGTTAAAGAAACAAGGATGGAAACAGTTGACTTACACTGGCCCCAATAAATGCCCTTTCCATTTTTTACTTTTCAGTTCAGCTAACATTTATTGACAGCTTTTACTGTGCCAAGCACTGTGCTAGATGCCAAGGATACAGAAATGATTAAAACACAGTCCCTTTCCTCAAGAAGCCCATGCTCTGATGGTGGAGGCAAACAAGCACTTTAGGCCAAAATTTAAAACTATGAGGGCACCAAAAAGGGAGTGGTTTATTTTGCCTGGAAAGAAATAAAACCTTCATAGAAGAGGTGACATTTGAAAGGGGCCTTGAAGGAAAAAAGAGAAGGTCAGTAGTTGTCCGTAAGAAACAATAAAACAGCGCAAAAATTCTAAAAGAAAGTTCTGTTTGTATTCTGTGGGCTGCCTGTGCAACTGGATCTGAGCATTCCCTGGGGTGGCTGAGGGGGCTGTGTGGACCAGACAGAGCACAGGCTTCCCGGGCTTCATCAGTCCAGGCTGAGTGACCTCCAGCTGCAGGAAGGGGAAAACACCAGATCCCTTCAGTGCATGGCACCAACACCTCCTATAACATCAACCCAGGGCTCCGTGTGTCCTCTTCAAGAGGAGAAAACAAGACAAAACAAAAACAACAAAACGACAGCAGGGCCCTTCTCCATTTCCTGGCTCTGAAATGAGGTTAGTGAGTTAATGAATGAAGCCATCGTGTCTTTATCTGTAAACTGGGGAAAGCTATACTTTCTTCAAGTGCTTCTGTGAGGATGAAAGAGGGAAATGCATGCAAAGCCCCTGGCACATGATCCTGAGAAATGGGAGCATGGCGATGATGGTGATGATGGTGGCAATGCTAAGGATGAAGGACGGGTCTGATCTCTGGGCTGCTGTGGGAAGCCTGAGCATCCCATGCGGTGGGCAAGAACAATGTGATCTTGGCTACCCTGGCTCTGACCCAGAGGGACTTCCTGCCCATCTGCACTTCCCTTGCCGTTGTCCTTGTGGCTCAGGTGGTGCAGGCAGCTGCTCCAACTGCTGTCTCTGGTGCCCTGACAGCTGCAGGGAGCCAGGCAATGGGCTATGAAACCGAACCTCAACTGGAAACTATCTGCCCTAAATAATCCCAGCAACAAGGTCCGCCTCACTCCTCTCCTCTGCCTGCCCCCATCCCTGTTTTCACCTGTTGTGGTTTCTGTCTCATTCCACCTGCATTTTCTTTCATTTTCTTTGCCCCTTCGCTGCCTCTTTCCCTCTCTCTCTGGTCTCCTCCTCCTCGCACCCTCACCTCTTTTTTCTTCTCTGCATTCTGGCTGCTCCTCCAGTTCTGGTTTCTCCACTGTGGTGTGGCAGAGGATGTGAGGTCAGAAGGTTCAGGGACTACCCGGCTTCTGAGATGCGGGGCAAGCCGCCTCAGCCTCCTGGGATGTGGTTTCTTCATCTGCAGAATTGGACCAGAATGACTCCGGAGTGTTCCTTCCGCTCTAAACTCCCTTTCTGTTACATTGTGTTGTGTTTGCCTTTGTGCCTGCTTTTCCTGTTTCAGCTGTCTCATCTGTCCACCTGCCTCTCCCATCTGCATGCCACCACTCGGGTCGAAGCCGCCAGCATCCCTTGCAAGGACCCCTAGAGCAGCCTCCTGCTACTGGAGGTCTCCCTGCTCCTGTTCTTATCCGCATCCAATGTGTTATCCACACAGAAGCCAAAGTGACCTTATCAAAATAGAGATGAAATTGCTCACTCAGCTTAAATCCTCCAAACTCCTTTACACCCCTTTTCTATCATAGGCCCCTCTTCGTGTTCTTCAGAGTAATTATTATTGCCTGAAATTATCTTTATTTACTCATTAATTTCTTAATGTTGATGTATCATTTGCTATCTGTCTTCCACACTAGAATGCAGGCTCCAGGAGTGACGGACTTGATTGTCTTGTTTACTCCATATCCTCATTGGAGGGGCCAGGGTCTTTATTCTCTCCTTCAACGCTGAATGAGGGAAACTCCCTTCGCCGCAGAAACCATCTGTCCCCTTCTTGAGAGTATTCTCTCCTAACCAAACCATTTCTTACTTAGAAATACCTGTGCCTGCCAGAAATCCTGCCCATCCTTCTCTGTCATTTCTGACATAATTCCCCTCATTCACTTTTCTCAGTCAGCCAGGTCTTGTGTTTCCATGGGCGATGGTAGAGAACAAGGGCAATGATGAAGCTAGTTCTTCTCTCACTTTAATGTCAATCTGTGCCATTGGATGCCTTAGGATAAAATAACTTAACAACTCAGACTTGAATCTAGATAATGTTTTACAATGCCAAGAAAGAGACTTCTTTAAGAAAATGTATTAAAACTTCCAAAATTCTGTGCTTGGTTCTTGGGGAGATGTTAGGAGTAGCCATTTTCTTTAAAACACCTCTTCAAAGTATGTAATGTTAATATGTCCATTTTACAGGCAACAAAACTGGGATTTAGAGAGTGCACAACTGGACAAGGCCATAGAGCCAGAGGTGCATGGAGCCAGGATTTGGATGGAAGAAGTACAATGCCAGATCCAGGCACCTAGCCACCATATGGGTGACCCTAGTCACCCTCTCACTCCCTAGATTACTCTGCATTATTTTCAGCATAACACTTATAAATACCTGATGCAGTCAAATTTCTTTATAGCTTAGCTTTTGGAGGCCACTTGCTTCCATTATAACATAAACTCCATCCAGGCAGGTACCATATCTGACCCACTCACTGCACTCATTCTAGTGCTTACAGTAGTGCCTCATACATAATGGACGTTCAATAAGTATTTGCTAAATGAATTAGTTATTTGCATATTGAGGATGAGATATAAAAGAAGTCCTGATAATTCTGTATATAAAACTCCGTCTTAGCCAGGAGCTGTAGCTCACACCTGTAATTCCCAGCACTTTGGGAGGCCAAGGCAGCAGGATCGCTTGAGCCCAGGAGTTTGCAACCAGCCTGGGCAACAGAGACATCATCCCTACCAAAAAAAAAAAAAAAAAATTAAAAATTAGCCAGGGACTGTGGTGCATACATGTAGCCTCAGTTACTCCAGAGGCTGAGGCCAGAGAATCACTTGAGCCCAGGAGTTTGAGGCTGCAGTAAGCCATGATCACTCCAACTCTCTCCAACCTGGATGACAGAGAAAGACTGGGTCTCCAATAAACAAAAACCATTTTCTTTGTCGATGGAATTTTCTCAAAAGTATTTTCAGTGGTGACGTATCTTTTTCCTTTGAGAACGCATTGCATTTTTGCAATTAGCCAAAATGGTTAAAGACTGCTTTTTTGTCAAAAAGAACATATGGTCATAAAGCATCATCACTGCTTTTCTTGCCCTGAAATTAGATCTATTTGTGGAGGTGTCTAACTTTCTGTGCTTTGGGAAGCTTATGCACTCTGGTAAGGCCCCTGCACTCTGTCTCAGAATCATCGTTTTTATAAGTATAAAATAAAATATATAGAAGTATAAAGAGCCAATTATACTGAATACAGTTATCAAAATATAAAAAATTGTGACATAGTAACATATTTGCTTCTTTAATAATGTATTAAATAAGAAGATCTAAAAATGTCTAATATCAACCTGGGAAAGATATTTACAGATATCTGTAAAAACTAAAATGTGATATGAAAATAACAGAATTAAATTAGACTCAGAATTTTCACTGGTAACAAAAACTTAGGTATTACTGTTGCTCTCATAATTAAAGGAAACTTTAACTTTCATAAAGAGGTTAGTACAAAGAAAGATATAATTTTTCCTGCCCAAATTTACAGGCTCCTGAATCTTATCCACAGACTCCATGGACCCCAAATTTTAGAACCCTATGTTAGAGAAATCCAGAACAGGTTCAGCGATAGCAGCTACATTTAAGTAAGTGTATTACTCCTTAACGTGACCCTAAAGGGGTTATTCTTTACTTGGTGTATAAGTTCTGACATACCCGGTTATTTTTAAAATTCAGAACCACTTTTAAACCTACTCTAAACCTTTTTAAATTTAAAATTATTTAATTTTAAATTAATTTTTTAAATTTAAATTTTTAAATTAAGTTGCTAAAATTCAGTCTCACTTTATACCTACCAATAGTGGGCATAGTTACTATCATTTTAATCTGTTTGTTTATTCTCTATCTACATATATATGATATAATATTCTGAAAACTTTTAATCCTTGACTATTATGAATTTATAAATTGTATTGGTAGATTTTATTTTATATTTTTAATTTGTTCCTCCTCTTTCATCTTTTTTTTTTTGACCAACATCTCCCTAACCCCTTTCCCAAATTTATTGATTTTTAAATATTAATTTAAAATAGTGAATGCAGTCACATAATCCAAAAATTCAAAAGGTATAAACATACAGAAAATCTCCTTCTATCTCTGTCCAGAGTCACTTGGGTCTGTTTCTTTAAGGCAACCAATATTAGTTTCTTATATATTCTTTCAGAGATGTTTGAGATATACAAGCTTGTAAATTGTAGCATATTATCCACATGATTTTCGACGCTTTTTTTTCACTTACTTCTATGTCTAGAAGTTAATTCCATATTGGTGACTTAAAACCTTCTTCATTTCTTTTAGTGACTACATAGTCTATTGTAAGGATGTATCATAATTATTTAACCAGTCTCTACTGATGGGCATTTAAGTTTTGCTATTTGATTTGCTGTTTACTATCACGAAAATTATTTGCTATTAGAAAAAGGGAGAATAGCAAAAAGTATCATCTAAGATCAGAATTTTGTCATGGACACCCACATCTGTGGGTCTTAGAATCATGAACCCTAAATATAAGTAGGTGGCAAGAGATGTATACCATACAGAGGTTAATATAACATATTGAATCACAGTATTCTGGATAATACCCCAACAGGACAGACAGGAAACACAGAAATGTCATCAACTCTTTCAGCAGTCTAGGCCAGGTTTAGCGTTTTTCAGGACCTAAGAGGGGATAACTGAAGGCAGGTACGATGTCCCCAGTTTGACAGGGCCCTTTGGAGGAAGCTTGAAAGTTTCAATGGAGTACATTGGTTTTGTTTTGTTTTGTTTACTGTGGCTCTCAGGAACAGAGACTTGAGTTAATAACACTCGTTGGTTCATGGCACAATGTCATCAGGGTCCCTGGAGGTTCCTCTACTGTGCTTATTTCTTCCTCTTAATCCCCATTTCTGTCTTTCATTGCTCCTCTCCACCATCATTCTAAATCAATGTGTTTAATGTGTATATTTTTATGTACAAAATGGATATGATGATGTTTTGTGCGTGTATGTGTATTTCAGATTTATAGCAATGACACTGGATTATAACTAATTCTCTTTCTTCTTCCACCTCCACTATGTTGTATGGTCCCTCCATGTTGTTACATAGACATCTAATTCACGGTCTCTAACTGCAGGGTGGTCACATCCATCACTTTGTATCCACCTGCTTTCTCAGCGAGGGACAGCCAGGGTGCCTCCTGCTCCTTGCCACCAGAAATTAAATTGCAGTTCACAACCTTGCACGTGGCCCTCTCTGGATCTGAGTGAGAATTTATCTGGTGTACACATCTGGGATAGAATTGCTGGATTGTACAATTATATATACTTAGTTTGACTAATTACTGCCAGATTACTCCCCCAGATGGCTCCTCAGCAGCAACAGCAGAACACCTGAGAGTTTTCCATCCCCATATGTTTGCCAGCTCTTGAAATGGTCTTGCTTTCTATTTTTTTTTCCAGTCAAGTGATATATCATAATTATTTGCATTTGCGTTTGTCTATGAGCAGATATTTTTAACATCTCTTCAATGCTTGTGGGTCTTTTCAGTGTACTCCTCTGTAGATTGCCTGTTCCTACCCACTGTCTGTGCTTCTAGAGTTTCTGTCTTTTCCTTGTCGATGCGTAAGAATTTTTTATACAATGTATTTTCCTCAATAATGTATAAGAGTTTCTTGTCAATTTTAGCTATGATAAATTCTTTTTCAATTTTCTCATCTGCCTGTTATCTTTGCCCTTCATTGAACCAAAAGTCCTACTTTTAAAGTAATCATATTAATCTTTTAAAAAATGTATGGTTGTGCTTTTGATGTTCTGTTTAATAAATCGTTCCCACCCTAGTTAACAAAGATACTCTCCTACATTTTCTCCTATTATATTTCTCAATTTATATTTTACATTTCAACACATCTGACTTCACCTCTGTGTAGGTATTAGGAAGGGATTCAGTTTCATTTTTCTCCAAAGATAGTGGGACCTTTGAGCCAGTGTGCTTGAAAGAAGCAGAAGCTGTGGGCTGGAAGAGATGGAAGAGAGGAGGGAAATAAGATATCTGGGACCCACAGAGAAAGGTCATAGATGCATAATCCAGAGGCTCCATGTGACCTACCCTAGGAGGCACTCCTCCATCTGCGGTCTGTAACAAAATACTGAAAAAGCCAGCATGCAGCATACTTCTCTTACAAATAAAGCCGTTTGGAGGAATTTCCCAGCAGCATTGAAGTTCCGGTACATGGCTTTAAAAATATCCCCTGTACACAACAGAAGGACTTTCCCAAGTGGGAGGGAGAGTTGGGTGAGTAGGAAGAAAGGAAGCACCCGAGGGAGGCAGGCCAGAGCACACACAAGCAGGTAGCTGAGAATTGATTGCACTAAAGATGAGTCGGATGACAGAAAAATCAAAGAATTATTTCTGGTCCTCAAAGTTGAAAATCTACCCTTTTAGGAAAGGTAATTGGTTCCTTCCCAGTGTCTGAATCTTGAACATTCTTCTATTTCTAGTTTATTATCAACTGCCTGTGGTTAGACCCAGGTCTTATCAACGAATTAAAAAGGTCAAAGAAAAGCCCATGGAAAAATGACCTAACCAAATTATAGGCAAATGTTTGATATTTCTAGACTTACAATATGCATATATTATAACAAATGCAAAGATGCCAGATTCTTTTAAAATTTTCTTCTTGGTAGATGGACCCAGCAGTCAGCCTTTCATTCTTCTGTGACTTTACCTCTGCTAAGGAACCCCATCATAGCTTCAGGGAGGCTGTGAAATTGTCCTAAGACCATAGCTCAAGAAGGATAAGAAAAAAAACCTTGAGGGAAAGAAAAAAAAGCAAAAAATGTTCTCTTTTCAAATTTACAAAAGTGGTTCTTAAGAGCTGGAATTTTTCTTGACTGGCCAAAAGCAATGGCTACCCAGTGGGAGGAAAAAGCAGAAGGGAAATGAAAGGTCACAGGGAGCATTTTGTGTATATGTGTTTTTTTAAATTTTTTGTGAGTTTTTTTGTCCTGAATAATTTTTTTAATGCAAGAGGAAATTTAATTTGATGTCTTCAATCTCTCTGCTAAGCCCTCTCTTTTTTTGTTCAAAAGAAAGAACGTTTCTGATTGAAGGCATCTTCCAGCTTATTCACAAACTGAGAGTTATGCAAAGTATCCCCAACTTTTAAAAGAGGTCAACAAGGTGTATTAAAGCTTATGACTTGCAAATAGAAGATACATGTCTTGTTAAATAGATTGCTCTTATACCACAATGTGGAATGTCTTTAGGACTCTGGAGTTAAATCCTGGGATTCTTCTGCCCCTTACATAATGTGAGGTCTATGGTAATGTACTTACTCTCTGAGCCTTGGTTTCTTCACTCAAAAAACTGAGATAATAATACTACCTACTTTATAGTGATATTAGAGTATTATACGCCACATACCTATTAAATGACTAAAAATACTACTGACAATACCAACTTCTAATGAAGGTGTGTGGCAGTTGAAACTCTCATATATTGCTAATGGGGATGCAAAATACAGCCATTCTGGAAGAAGTTTTGTAGTTTTTTGTATGTAATCTTACATATGACCTAACAATCCCACTCTTGGATATTTTCCCAAGTGAAATGAATACTTATATTCACACACTATATGTAAATATTTACAGCAGTTTTATTTATGATCACCAAAACTGGAAGCAACCCAAAAGACTGGGAGAATGAATTAATAAGCTATGATACAGACATACAATGGAAAATTACTCAGCAACAGATAGGAATGAACTATTGGTACACACAGGTTGGATGAATCTCAGAGGCATTAGGCTAGGTGAAAGAAACCAGTCTCAAAGGTTATATATTGTACAATTGCATTTTTGTAGCATTCTTGAAAAGACACAGGTATATTGGCAGAAAAGAGGAGCTTGGTTGCCATGAATCTGCTCAGGGTTAAGGGTGGAGAAAGAGTTGACTGGAAGAGAACAGCAGGGAGTTTCATGAGGTAATGGAACTGTTCTGTGTCCTGATTGTGATAGTACTTTAAGAATCTATGCCTGTGTTAAATGTCGTAGAACTGGACACCAAAAAGGTCAATTTTACTGTATGACTTTAAAAAATAAAACTTTAAACAAGATTACATAAAATAATGCATATTTAATATAGTCCCTAGCAGACAGTAAATTTTATCTATGAGGTCTTTCCAAGACTGGTATAGAGTATATTTGCATGCATCTAATTTAATAGAGCCAACTGGTAGAGTTCAATACAGTGTGGCCAGGTGAAACATAAGATAAAAGAAAATACTATAAACCATGTAAATAATGCAGTGATTCTACCTGACCACCTCCTCAATACATATGTGCTTGGAGTGCAGGAGAGATGGGAAAAGTGAATCTGATCTTCCACATTTGGTGCCAGTTCCCACATGCTCCTCTCATGGTATGGACATCTCTCTGTACTGAATGTGCTACTAGTGTTTCAAGATAAGAACATTTCCTAAAATATGGCCTCCAAATGCAAGCCGACTACTTATTCTGGTAGTAATCCAAAGAAACAGAAATATGTCTAGACAGTGGGAAAAAACTGACTGTGTTGGGTTTATTGACATTCAATTTGATGTCTTCCTAAAAGATTATAAATGGTAATTGTGGCTATATGCAACTGTTGCCATACACACTCATATGATTTAAAATCAGCTCTGTTGCTCAGAGAAGAGAAAACTCATTGATATTTAATGCAGGTTGTCATATACACCTGCTTGATCGGCTGTTTGGAATTGCTAATAGTCCTTAAGCAATGCTTCTAGAAAATGCACCAGCCATTATGACAGCTCAAGGACAGGCAGACCGCAGAGACACTCGGACCCAATGACAAATGCAGGTTGACTTCTGCACCTCCCATAGTTTCAGTTTAATGAAGGTAAATAGTCTAGTGTGTTATCCTACCCCCAAATGAATGAGTCTTGACCTAAAAGAACTCTTTGGCAGTGGTATTTAAAAGCTGGGACATACTCTTTATTGTTGAGAGTCTGTAGATTATTCATCTTTTAAAGTCAGATTTAATTTCTGGAAAAGTAAATGTAATTTTCAGTTAAATCTTATGTGCAGTAAGATAATTCTGTTAGAGATACCAATTTTGGTAAAAAATATATTGTTATATATGTTTATATATAATAATATATATAATATTATATATACATATATACATACATACATATATACATACATACATATACACATATATACATATATATATAGAGAGAGAAAGAGACATGCCTAGGAAGCAAGGAAGCTGATTTTAGGGGTCTCCCAAACTGTTTGAGACATGTATAGACTGGAAAACGTTAACAGGCTAGGAAATTGCTTTTTAAATGTCTTCAGCTCAGTGTCAGTCTTTCAAATTGACTTCTTTGAAGGTAGAATATTAACATGAAAGTATGTATTCTAGCATTTATTAGTTGAGTCTCATCTCTCCTGAGCCTTTGTTTTGTTAAGGTGCACAATCTTGATGTAATCTTAATTTTTGTTTGATTAAAAAATCCAAAATGACCAATGCATAGACTTACAAAAGAATATAATAATTGCTGATATTTTATTGTATAACTACATTGAATTATGTTGAAGGGACTCTCCTAAGCATTTGACTAGTATTATTTTATTTAATCCTCACGTCTACTTTCTGTGAAAGCTACTATGCTATACCCATTTTACAGTAGAGGGCTGAGATCCAGAGAGGTTAAGTAACTTGCTAGTGGCCAACTTACGGGTGGTAGGTAAGTTGTAGAGTCAAGGCTGCTTGATAAAGTCTGCCTGACACCTGAGTGCCTGCTTCCCAGTCTCCTTGCTAAGTTGCCTTCTAGGAAAGGCATGGAAAATGATCAGAATGGTAACAAAGCAATCCAAGACAGGATATGAGAACCAACTGGGATACAGGACATAACTGGGGATTCAAAGTGAGTTAGGGAGAAGAGGTACAAAGAGGCGAACAGCCCCTTGTTCTGATTCTCTCCATTTGAAATAATGCCCAGAGTAATCCATCATTTATTATTATTATATTTTTCAAGACGGAGTCTTGCTCTGTCACTCAGGCTGGAGAGCAGTGGCGCAATATCAGCTCACTGCAAACTCCAACTCCTGGGTTCAAGCAATTTTCCTGTCTCAGCCTCCTGAGTAGCTGGGACTACAGGTGCGTACCACCACACCCAACTAATTTTTTTTGTATTTTTAGTAGAGCTAGGATTTCGCCATGTTGGCCAGGCTGGTCTTGAACTCCTGATCCACTCATCCTGTCCTCCCAAAGTGCTGGGATTATAGGCGTTAGCCACTGTACCCAGCCCATCATTTATTATTTTACCTAAATATTTAATCTATTAATTCACTCAACAAATATGACTGATCCCCTATTACATGCTGAGTTCTGAATTAGCTAAACACACAGAGTTGAATCTACCAAGGCTTCTGATTTTTTTTCCATTTTATTTTTAGTTGACATGCAATAATTGTACATATTTATAGGCTACAGAGTGATATTTCAGTATGTGTATACAATGTATGAAGATCAAAACAGGATAATTAACATATCAATTACCTCAAACATTTATGATTTCTTTGTGTTGTGAACATTCAAAATCATCTCTTCTAGCTTTTTGAAAATATACAACAAATTATTAAAGAGCTTTTGGTCTATTATATGAGCTATTATTTACTTTAAAACATTTCATCATAGACAATGTATTATAGATACATGTGTGTTTATTTTACACTCTAATCAAAAATACATACTTCAGAGTGATCAACCAGCCCTTAATTATTACAGTCATACCCCAGAAGGGCTGCTACAAGAGTTTCAGCTCTTTATCTCTAATCAACAATGTGTTTTGTTTATTGGCATAATAAATTATTTTCTATCATGCTAGTAAACAAAAGTGTTTCCATTAGTGCAATTAGTGTGTTCAAGAGGTAGATTGGCTAAAAATAGTATGGAAACATACTCCATCCTTGCATGACAGGGTATGAGAATCTTCTGACCTCAGTGGTCTTTATATCTAGTTAAATGCCAGATTTTTGTTTATAAAAACTTATGGAGACTGTAGATGTTATCTTCCACCAGGAGAGGATCAACCCTTTCCTCTGTGGGGCAGATAGACTGAGGCTGGGAGAAGCATCTTTCCCAAGCTTGTGACTGGGCTGCGTGTATCTTGGGTTTGTTCCTGTTCCCAGAATGAGGCCTTTCTTCTAAGTGAGAACATGAAGTATGGACCAGGACCCCAGTGCCTGGGAGATCCTTGACTTCTCAGTGCTCACAGAATACAGAAAACTCCCATTTGCTTTTCAGAATTTTTTTGATTTTTAATCTCCTGTTCCATGCAGCTTCAGAATTCTGAAATTTCTTAAAGGGAAACCAGCTGTGTGTTTGAGGCTCCTCAAGTCTCCAGCGAATTCCAGTCTCACATAAATGCCCAAACTGCTTTCCTATCCCAACAGTGGCCCTCTGTTGGGCCAAGCAGGATGCTCAGCTCTGGCCATACCTGGAACTGGCCAAAGCTGCCAGGGAACAGGCGACTGCAAACAAGTCACCTCCCCACTGCCCCCAGGCCCCATGAACCAGAGTTCAGTCAGTGTCTTCGCAGAACCATGAACTGGAGGAAAGTTCTGCTCTGCTTTTCTAAGATTTTTAAACTTAGTTTCTAAGTCTGCCACTGGGCTCAGCTTCAGGATTGAGCAAATGTCTTCCAGAAGAAACTAGCTGTGTGTTAAGGCCATTGAAATCACCAGTTGGGTCACCTCCTTACTGCGTACCTGCC